TTCAGTAGGCTTGCATCAAAAATGTAATTTCTGACCAAATGACTTCATTTAAGTAACTGAATATTGACTCATTCTGGTATTCATGCTCCACCTTTGAAAGAAGGTAAAACCTGCTTAAATTGGGCAATTCTTTGTGATTTTAACGTTTTCGCTCCCCATGGTGGGAATCGTATATAATGAAATCCTTCTAGCTGCAGAAAGGGTATTTAAAAGTCTTTTCCGTAAATAAATATTATCAGTCCAGGTCAGAAAACACCCTGGGGAAGATGATCATTTAGTTTTCCTTTTTTTTCTCCAAAAAGTCAGTTCAATTTGTTTTTGTCCTCCCTTGTGAAATGGTTTAAAAATTAAGTTCAGCGTCTTAAGAGATCTTGTGGATTTGTTGTTGTGCAAAGAAAGAGGGGTGTATGAAGTAATGAACAACATTTATTTAGCCAGAGAGTGCTTTGCTGTCATTTGACATTAACTCAGATGGGAATTCAGAAGCCTGTAAGGATAGGATACTGATGTCTGTTGAATGTGGTCAGTGACATCCTGGAAGACTGGTTTTGCCCCAGTCTCTGATGATGTAGGTTGCAAATCCATGGTGATCTGCAGGTCCAAGATGTATTTGATGACGTGCTGCAGGGTTTCCATCTTGCTCACCTTCTTGTTCTAGGTTATGCTGGGCTCCAGCTCTTTGAGCTTGGAGTGATTGTTGTTCATGTTGTACAGCAGGTTCATCGGATCGTCCACAGGGGTTTTGCTCTGAGAAATGACCAGGTTGTGGTTGGAAAGGCTGTTTTTCCTAATGGACCTCACTGGACTGAATACTTTGATGTTGAATGTGGGGTGGGAAATGAAAGACTGATAGGGAATGAGTTACTCTGTAGCTCAGGCCGCCTCTGCTGCCCACTGAGCTACCTCTACTCAGCACAGCTTGGCTCAGAATTGATGAGCAATCTTTTACTGAAGGGTCAGCTATGAGTTGGTTCTGATTTGAATGTTTAAGCTGTCAGATTTTACTGAAAACTGATGATTTTTAATATGATTATATTAATTTAGGAGAATAAGTATCTTTACAATAATTAGCTTTTTAACACTCATATTGTTGTTAGGTTCTGTGTAGTCCAGTATGACTCAGAACGACCCTATGAACAAAAGATCTGAACCTTGTTCTATCTTAGTCCATTCTGACACTTCTTGACATGCCGGGACACATATTTTATAGCTTACAGGGATCTAGGTTTTTTTCCCAAGTATTTTTATGCTTTTATAAATGATATTTTAAAAGTTTCCACATTATTTAATAATTTTAAAAATGTACTAATTACTCTATACATACTTTTTGCTTTATATGTATTATCTCTGATCAGCAGCTAACTTTTGTCAGTGATTTTGATTACTTGAAAGAAAATAGTAGAAAAGAAGAGATTTTAATGTAAATCCAGCATTTCTTCTAAGTGGCACAATGACTCTCCAGTTGCCTTGAAACAAAGCATCAACTTTACCTCTTAGTGAGTATGAGTGTTTCTAGATTACTTTTCCATAACAAGTGTGTCTTGTCAGTGTTGAAAATTTACTCTGATAAATAGTCTGGTATTGTTCAATTTTCCTCTGAATATTTTGGGAGAGTGTCAACATTAATGGCATTACTTCCTTCAGGAATATTGTATTTGGCTATGTAAGCCTTTTAAAAGGACCCAAATTTATCAGCTCACTTTGCTTCATAGTAGCAGAGGTCATATTATTTCCTTTCTCCTTAGTTGCCCCTTTATATTCTACTCCAGTCACAACTGGAATAGCACATCAGCAGAGAACTGCAGGCTTTAGAAGAGGCTGTGGTTCTAGGGATATTATAGCTAATGTTAGATGGATCTTGACTGAAAGCAGAGAGTACAGGGGAATGTCTGTCTGTGTTTCATTGACAGTGCAAAGGCATTTGACTGTATGGATAACAATAAACTGTGGCTAACTCTGAGAAGAATGGTAATCCCAGAACATTTGATTGTGCTTATGTGAAACCTGTACTTGGACCAGGAGGCAATCATCAGAACAAAGCAGGGAAACATCGCATGGTTCAAAATTGGGAAGGGTGTACTCTAGGGATGGGTCCTGTCTTCATACCTTTTCAGTCTATATGCAGAGCAGATTATCCAGGAGGCTGGGCTGTATGAGGAGGAATGTGGCGTCAGGATTGGAGGAAGACTTATCAGCAATCTGCGTTATGCAGATGACACAACCTTGCTTGGTGAAACTGAGGAGGACCTAAAGCACTTATTTCTGATCAAGGACTGAAGCCTTCACTGTGGATTGATGCTCAACATCAAGAAAACAAAGATTCTCACCACTGGGCCAATTGGCAGCTCCATGATAGATGGAGAAGAAATTGAGATTGCTAACAATTACAGCTTGCTCAGCTTCACAGTTAACACTCTTAAGGAAGTCGAAAGACGAATTGCATTGGGAAAATCTGCCATCAGGGACCTCTCCAGAGTGCTGAAAAGCAACAATGTCAGTCTAGAGGCTTAAGGTGTGCCTAATCCAGGCCCTGGTTTTCGCACTTACTTGTTAGCTTCAGAGAGCTGGACAATGACTAACGATGGCAGAAGAATTATTGATGCCTACAAGTTGTTCTGGAGAAGAGTCTTGAACATACCATGGACTGCCAAGAAAACAAACAGGTCTGTCTTGGAGAGAGTGAAATCAAGTGTCTCCTTGGAAGCTAAAGCTAAGATTTTGAAGCTTCATCTCATATACTTTCAGCATGTGACTAGGAAAGACTGGTCCTTGGAGAAGGGTGGAGGTCCTTGGAAGGGTGGAGGGACAGCGCAGGAAAAGATGACCCTGGATGAGATGGATTGATACAGTAACTGGGGCAATGGGGGTTGGTGTGTCAGAATCAATGAGACTGGCTTAGGACAGGCCAGAGTTTAGAGCTGTTCTACATAGGGTCGCTATGGGTTGCAGGCAAGTTGGTGGCTCATAACAACAGCAACAAATCACATGGGAGGAGATTACCTGTCCTTTATGCACGAAGCATCTTGTGGCTTCAAATCACATGCATTTGGGATTGTAGCACAGATTCTTACCATTAAGCCACCAGAGCTCCATTTCAGTGTGTATGTTGTTGTTGTTAGGTGTCATCAAGTGCTACTCATACAGTAACTCTGAAACCTGCCCTATCCTGAGCCAATCTCATTGTATCTGACAGACTTAATTTCTCCAGTCACTGAGTTAATCCATCTCATCCTGGTTCTTCCTTTCCTGTGCTGTTCTTCTACCTTTCTGAGCATGATGTCCTATTTACAAAGACTGGTCCCTCCTGGCCATGTGCCCAGCGTATGTGAGATAGAGCCTCGAAGTCCTTACCTCTCGAGTACAGTTTCACCCTCTCCAGGACAGATCTGTTTGTTTTCTTAGCAGACGACAATATCTTCAACACTCTTTTCCAGAACTACAACTCAAAGGCATCCTTCAGTCATCCTTAGTTATTGTCCAGCTTTTGGATATATAGCTAGTAATGGCAAAGACTTTGTCTTGGATCAGGCACACCTTAGTCTTCAGATTGACATCATTGCTCTTCAATAATCTATAGACTTCCTTGACAGCAGACTTTCCCAGTGCAGTTCGTCTTTTGCTTTCCTGACTGCTGGTTTCAGGAGCGTTGATTGTGGAACTAAGCAAGCTAAAGTTATCAACAATCTCACTCTCTTTTCTGTCCATCATGAAGCTGCCATTTGGCTCAGTGGTGAGAATCTTTGCTTTTTTGATGTTGAGCTTTAATCCATATGGAAGACTACAGTCCTTGACCTTCTCCAGCAAACAACTCAGGAGAGAAGTTCCAGATGTACAGGCTGGGTTTAGAAGAGGTTGTGGTCCTAAGGATATCATAGCCAACGTCAGGTTGATTGTGGCTGAAAGCTGACAGTCCCAGAGCAATTTCTGTTTCATTGACTATCCAGAGGCATTTAACTGTGTGGATCACAACAAATTGTAGGTAACATTGAGAAGAATGGTGATCCCAGAACACTTAAATTGTGCTCATGTGAAAACTATACTTGTATCAGGAGTCAGTAGTCAGAGCAGGGAAACATTGTATGATTCAGGTTCAGGAAAGGTGTGTGTTAGGGGTGCTGACCCTCCAGTGGATTTTCAGAGACACTTAATTTGCACAGGAGGAAATTGTCTATCTTCCTCCTGCAGAGAAGCTAGTGGGTTTGAACTGCGTGCTTTCGGTATTGCAGCACAGCTTCTTGCCACCTGGACATCACAGTCCCTAACTACACAGTTTAAAAAACTAAACCTATTGTCTTCTATGGGAACTCTCTTTGCTTTGTTTAGAAGTTGTTGGACTGCTAACCAAAGGTGGCCTCTCTGGTGGTCTGAATCTACCAACTACTCCTGAGAGAATGATAGGCAGTTTTTCTCCTGATATGATTTAGAGATTGGGAAATCTGCTGTAAAGTCACTATGAGTTGGAAATAGAATTAATGGCAGTGAGTGACTGGTTCACCCTTGAACTGATACTGAGTACTGGTGACCCTCCACTAGGTTCTAAGCCTGTAAATCTTTGTAAGAAGAGATTGCCTCATCTTTTTTCACAGAGTGACTGATGAATTTGAATCACCTATATTTCTGTTAGCAGCCCAACATGTATTATACTGCACTGCCAGGGCTTCTGTCTATAAATTAGCAACTACAGACAAACATCTCTACATATGGACTTGTGTTTTATTTTTTTTATGCAAATATAATTTATATAATAAATTTTTGTTTGATTTAACATATGTGCATGCAAGACATATGGGGAATTTAATGAAATTTAATATTGTATTAAAAATATCAAGTTTTTTTTCTCCTACCATTTGAATGTTCTTTAGACTGCCTAGGTTATCATGCATTCTAAGTGAAAATTTACTGTAACCCATTAGATTTGTATCTTTGTTGTTGTTGAATATACCATTTAGCTTCTAACTTCTTTTTTACTTCAGAAGAATATTTATAATTCTGTTTTACAGGGTTTCACAGTCAAGTAAGACAATAAATAATAAATCTGCAAAGCAGACGCCACACACTAAAGAAAAGCAAAGAGATGATGTTGATACTTCCCTTGTAATGTCTGATACTCAACCTAAAGGTTTGTGAGCCTTCAAAAATGTTTTAAAATTTAGGGAGAGAAGTGCAGCAGTGAATGAATGGAAATCCAAAATCTCTGTAAATGCTTATTAAAATTATAATTATATAATTATAATTAATTAAAAAATGTTTTAAAATTGAGTTTTGTCCTAATACAGTTCTAATGATTTAAAATTATAAAGAAATAGCTTTGTTTCATCTTACATTTAAAACATACATCAAAGTTAAAGGAGAATATTTAGCAAAAAAATTTCCCCAAACCAAACTTACTTTCTGCTTATATTATTACTTATATACTGTAGCACACATTTTTTCTTTACTAATTCTAAAAATTAAATTTTAATATTTCCAGAAGTAATTATTTACCAACTAACAATTTAAATAACAGTATAAATAGAATTAGTACAGATGATATGAAGACCATGTATGATCTTTACATTCCATTTCTTTCTTGGATAGAGTAGAAATACATGAATGAAAAGTTTCTGACCTCTAGCCTTAGGTATTGCCTAACTAGTTATTATAGAATTTTAAAGATGTAGCAATGAAAGATGTATGATGAAGGAAATATTTTATAGTTTTGTAGTAGCCCTGAAGGGCTTTATAGTATAGAAAGTGATTTTAAGAGAATTCAATTTTGAAACTTTATTGAAATCTTAAAATGATTGCTATTCTGAAGATAATATATTGCATATTAGTTGTGTAACATAAAATGTGTAAGTGAGTGGAAATTCCGAGTTAACTCTCAAGTATATCATTCTTTGTAGTGCTTTGAGTTTGCATATAGAATTAGCTTTAACCAAAATAATACATTGGAAATATTTAATATTCCCTTTCTTACATAATTTTGTCAAGCTCTTTAATTTGGTATGTTAGTAACTAGCAACAGCAAGTACAATGTTTGCAAAATTTTAATTTTAAATTGTATTTGTGCAAATAGAATTCCTTTTTTTTTTTTTAATATGGAACACTTCTTGCTGATCTTCTGTATTGTTCCAATTTTAGTATATGTGCTGCTGAAGCGAGCACAGAATTCCATTTTTATACTATTTGGTGTT